CCCCCCCCCGCGTCCACATGAGACAGACATGCTCGCCTTCGTGCTGGTGTCCGGCTCGCTGTGGATCCTTTTGGGTGAGTATTATTATCACCATTCTTTTGAATCATCAGAATTTGTCCTCCCCCCCAGGTTCACCTTCATGGGTTTTTTTTTTAGGGGTGGGGGCGCAAGATGACGCACGAGGCCGGCTGCGTGCGTCATTCATTGCCTTTATTGTACATTTAATTCATAGATTGTTCCTATATTTTGAACTAAAAGGACCAGAGTAATATAAGACAGATTTATGGTGAGATGCTAAGCTAACTGAGATGCTACTGGCATTGGGTGCATACGTCATGAAAGGCCTATGCTATGCTTATTTGCACGCTAAAAATGGATGGATGCACCGTGCGCGTGTGTGAAAATTGCACGAATGGGGTTATTCGGCTCATTTTAATGTCGTCCGCCATGCCTCATCGAGATGGAGGTGCTGGGGGGGGGGGGTTTGATTATGACGTGAAGGTCCAAGCTGATTGGACGACAGTGCGGGAGCTGTTCACGCGAGAGGTGGTGCTGGAAAAACAGGGGGAGGGGGGAAAAGGGGAGAGAGGAAGGGGGCACTTTATTAGGGACCCGCACAGCACATGGGACGTTTGGATCACTTCTCAAAATATTCGGAAGAGCGACATGTTGTGAAAGCATTATTCTATGTTTTTGTGCTAATTTTCAATTAATTTGATAAATACAACTGAATAGTACTGAACAACTGTATCGCATTAAAAGCAAACCACTGTGACTTTATACAAAGAGGGAGCCTGTGTAGCTACTTTAAGTATCACTATTCTAAAAATAGGAATTGCATATTCTAGGAAAAATGCGCCTTTTGCAGTTAAAAAAAAATACACCCATCCTTAAAAATATATGACACCTGTCACTGTATCCCGTCCCATGACCTGGTTGCTGATGTGTGTTGTTAAAAATTCATGCTACTGAGCACAATGTGTGTCACTGTACTCCTTTTCTTTACATTTCAATTAAATATGTCCTACTGCTGTTTTGAGCTGTTAAGAATGCAAAAATCAAACAAACAAACAAAAAACCGAACATATTCTTTTGTTATTTACTGAAAGACTTTGAGGCCTGTGAAGTACGTTGAGGTGAGAAGCGGAGTTTCATATTGTCATGCCATATCCTTGTCGATGCTTACATATAACGAGAAACGCCATTGATGAACAAATGGAATCGATATTACGGTCGTGATAAATCTGGAATCAGCTGCTTTTTTCATACACATGGAGCAGCAACACATTCAAAAAATGCATCCAAAAAGTTCTTTTTTTCTTCTTCTCCCCACAAAAATGGCATGAAATGTCTTGCAGTGTTAGTGCCTCTGCTCGTAAGTGCTTCCTCAGCATTTATGACTTCATGGCAGAGTGGAACATAATGGCTGCCAGGTAAATAAATGCTGAATCAGGCTTGTTCTTCTGCGTTGTGTTTGAGATAATCAGAAAAAATGACTTTGATCACAATGTATTATTATTATTATTATTATTATTATTATTTTTATTATTATTATTATCCATCCATCAATGTTTTAATCCGAATATCCTCAGGAGGGTCACGGGACCACTGGTGCCTATCCC